TGTGCTGCCGGTGTTCCATTCACTAGGAGCTTTTATTAGAGCTCTGCATCCCAGAGACAGAATGAGAAACAGCGAGATGGGGCCACTGAGCTTCGCCTCAGTCAGCACTCAGCACCGTCCGCTCCCTCAGGCAGCTCCTCTCCAGGGTAATGTCCTCCTCATTGTTGCTTCTGCTTTTATTTTGCTAATATTGCTTTGTGGGTTACACATGCCAATGCCACTGGTGTTAAGTTCTCTAGGGACTTGTCAGGAGACTTGGTCAGAAACTGCGCTTCAGACACTTGTCCCTAGTTGCCCTGGTCAGAGATGGCCGAGGCAAGACAAGAAGGCAGCGTGCTCCTACCACACCTGGCTAGAACAAAGGCAGTGAGCGGTCAGCCACTGCACTGTTTCCAAAGCCTGCAGGAGGTAGCCAGAAGGCCCACACTCTCACAGCATTTTCACCCAAGAAACTGCCATCAAGCAGGTGTCAGCTGCTTAGCAGGTATGTATCTTTGAGATATAACCTGCAGCCCCTCCAAGGAGACTCTCTATAAACTGAAAGGACACTCATTCATGAAGATAAGCAGACTTGACATGCTTGGATGCTTGGACGTTTACAGTCAGTAAGTTTTCTTTATGCAGACAGATGACTGGTCAGTCACCTACTGTGCAGTTACAAAAGCTGCCATTACAGCCTTTCTGTCATCTACACACTTGGCAGGTATTCCTCACAGGCTGTGAAGGAAGCCCAGGCCTGTCCACACAGAGATCAGACAATCGTTAGAAAATTACACTACTAGGTCAGGAGGAGTGGCTCACGCCCGCAATCCTAACACTCTGGGAGGTTGAGGCCGGTGGATTACCTGAGTTCACAGGTTCAAGACCAGGCTGAGCCAGAGCAAGACCTGACCTCTAAAAATAGCCAGGCTTATACTAAGAACTGGAAATAAATAAATAATAAAAATAGCGGGATGTTGTGGCAGGCACCTGTAGTTCCAGCTACTTGGGAGGCTAAAGCAAGGGGATCACTGGAGCCTAAAAGTTTTAGTTTGCTGTGAGCTATGACGTGACAGCACTCTACTGGGGGTGACAAAGTGAGATTCTGTCTCAAAAAAAGAAAAAAAAAGGAAAATTACACCACCAATCATTAAATAAGAAAGCACTGTAATTCAAGGTTACAGGGTTGTGCCCAGTCACACCCCCAGACTTCAGGCTATACTGCAACAGGTGCTCATGCCTTAAAACAGTGGTTCTCAACCTTCCTAATGCCGCAACCCTTTAATACAGTTCCTGTGGGTTGCGACCCACAGGTTGAGAACCACTGCCCTAAAGGCAGGTGGAGCACCGACTGCATCTGAGGAGCCAGCTCCGCCTCTTGTCAGCAGGACCTTAGGCAAATCACTCATATCATTACAAAAACAAAAATGTCTTACGAAGACATAAAAGTTTTGGGGGACTGTGTTTATGCCACTGTCAGCTTTCTCTTCCTCTTAAGAAAACTTACCTTCAAAGCTGACTGTGTTTACCTCTGCCGGCATCCCTATGTTTTCACTGAGCTTCCTTCTGAGCCTGCCCCATTCCATGGTGGCAATACTTAACTAGCCCTGTGTGACCGGCCATGGGGCAACTGTCACGCTGCCTAAAGCTCTTCACATTTCACGGTCTCAACTTCGCACTCTCAGTGCCCGGCTCACTGTGACTCAGGAAAGTGCTAAGTGAGTGATGGCTGAATGAGTGTCTGGGGCCTGTGTAGATCACAGGCAAATGAATGCAACAGTCAGGCTGGTGAGTAGAATAGGAACTGTACCAGAGACATAAGAGAAACTTTATCATTTGTGAATTACAAGCCTTGAATTATTAATAATTCTTGGTTCACTATACAGATGGCCTGAAAGGCTAAAGGCTTTCTTCTCTGGCTACCATGTACTCTGCCATACAGAGTAAACCATGGTTTCTTCAGCTTTCATAGTTCATCTGGAATCACCTTTCCACCTGCCGGGCTCTCTGCTGGGCAGGAAGTCTAACCTCAAGAACAGCAAAAAGGTCCTACTCCGAGCTTAAAGGTTCTAATTTATACTAGAAGGCAATAAAGGACAATAGTTGGATTTATTTTCTAATCATCCGTGGCACCTTTATAAAGAGAGTGCATTAGAAAACATTGTATGCTTTGGTAAATTTTAATATTCCCTGCCAAGCTGTATTTACACTACACTTGGAGTAAAAGTTTCAAATGGAGTATGGAAAAGTGTGGTTGGTGGCTTTATATATATATACACCACCTCACTGTAGGAGCAAGGGATGCATTTGACCTTTCCAGCAGCAAGGGAGAAGCCCTTGCCACCTGGACTCATCCCACCTCCCACTCTCCATTATCCAGCAGGAGGGAGATGAAAGCCCCAAAACTCAAAGGCACAAAGAACCACTGGTTTCAGCACGGCCCCGATGCCACAGACCCAGGGAAGAACGACATTCTGAAGCAATAAGGTCCTGGAAGCCTGAGCTGCCCTCCCAGCTTCACTCCCTGGCTATTGCTGGTCCATTCTGAGTGGACTGAGGTCACTTGACCAGGGCCTGTTGTCAGCCAGGTCCTCAACGCTGGAGGAAACCTGGTACTGTCTAGAGAGGCAGCGGTCTTTGTGCTGGGCACCAGGCTGACATAACGCAGTTTCCCAGACTTGCTGCAAAAGAATCAATCCTTGCAGGCATCTTAAGAGTCACAGCCTGGTTCAGCAGGGACAGGGGTATGAGGTACTGTGAGTTGGCCCTGAGGACCACACTTTGAACGCTAAGTAGCTGCAGGACTGTGTCTTGACACTGCTGCATGTGAGTTAGAGTCCCCCAAGGGCAGCCTTCTGAGGCCACACAACGCCCAGACCTCACTCCCTACTGATTAAATCTGGATGGGAAGGGTTGCTACAGCTCAGTCATCAATATTCTTCTAAACTCTTCCAGGTTTTCTTTTTTTTTTTTTTTTTGGAGAGAGTCTCATTTTGTCACCCTTGGTAGAGTGCCATAGTGTCACAGCTCACAACAAACTCAAACTCTTTGAGCTCAGATGATCCTCTTGCTCTAGTAGCCATGACTCTAGTACCCACCACGATACCTGGCTATTTTATTTAGAGATGGGGGCTAGCTCTTGTTCAGGCTGGTCTCAAACTCCTGAGCTCTAGGAATCCACCCATCTCAGCCTCCCAGAGTGCTAGAATTACAAGCAGGAGCCACTATGCCCAGCCTTCTCTAAGTGTTTTCTTAATGGAGTCAGAATCAAGAACCACCGACCTAAGGGTTCAACTCACTGTTAAGCAGGGCACAGCCTCAAAGGAACAAGACATTAATGTTTATTAACGGGACTTTTATCAATTCAATTTTCTTGCCCCTGCTGAACATTGGCGTGGTGAAGGCAATGCCACCCCTCAGTGGAACTCCTTCCAACAGAGGAAGTAAGCAGGAGTGCTCTGTCTTCCCTGATCTCACCCAGTTCCTGAACCAGGGTGGTATGCACAGCAGGTGAACACCCCCACGGCCGGCATGGGAGGATGTTAAGGTGTGCTTCCTTCTTTCCTGCCTTAGAGAGGCCCTAGGAGCAAAGGCAACAACAGAAGAACAGGGGGAACAAGTCTCGGGGCTTCCAAGGCAGCAGGGCACTGAATCCAGCTGTCAGTGGTGACCTGTGGTCGCTTAGACGATCCCTTATGCTCAACAGGAGTTAAGTTCTTTCCAATGCACTTAATGGCAGGAAAACAGAAGTAATTTTCTTTAATATTTGTTTGACTGGACTCAATGCATTCAAGTTATGAAAGTAACGATATTGAATTCAGAACAAAATAATATACAAAGACAGTCTAACATTCCATCCTCATTTTTAACTTGTGTACAAAGTATAAGGTTCTCATGAAGTATTTTAATAAATATATTAAGGCTTAAGGTAATCAGCGCTGTGAGTGAATGAATGGTGGTTTGCTTTCTAACAAACATTCAGAATCTTTAAAAACAAAACTGTTTACCATCTTATCTTACAGTGAGTGACACAAAACACAAGCTTGCCCCAGGTGTTTTTTTTTTTTTCCTGCTCAACATACATTCATATTATCTTCCCTCTTCCTATGTCTGATATACAAAGAATGACAGAAATGATTGGTAGGTTGAGAGAAAGAAGTTGATTGGTGTGACCAGAAATGTTGACTTTTCCAGTAAAAAGTTTTCACCATGCCACCTGGACAGTTAACAATACAGCTTACAAGTAAATAGAGCTAAACCAAGAAGCTTAAAATTTAAAGCTCATGGCTCAGTGCCTATAGCTCAACCGGCTAAGGCGCCAGCCACGTACACCTAAGGTGGTGGGTTCGAATCCCCAGCCCGGACCCGCCAAAACAACAATGACGGCTGCAACCAAAAAACAGCCGGGCGTTGTGGCGGGTGCCTGTGGTCCCAGCTACTCGGGAGGCGGAGGCAGGAGACTCGCTTGAGCCCAGGAGTTGGAGGTTTCTGTGAGCTGTAATGCCATGGCACTCTACCCAGGGGGTCAGCTTGAGGCTCTGTCTCTAAAAAAAAAAAAAAAAAATTTAAAGCTCATTACACAGCGAGAAAAGCTGTATAGCAGACCATCTTAAGGAAGGACCACAAAGCAATGCTGGTTTTAATACAGCACAAACTGGAAGCAGGAACCCCAGACAGAGAGGTATAAACAATTTACCATCTGTAAGGAGGCAACTGGCTGCAAGTCGCCTTGCACGAGACACCCACTAAGGTCTTTCACAGAGGTCCTCATGTTGTATTTCAATATGAATCCACAGCATGGGTCTCAATATAAGAGGGTCAAGGATATTCCTGTCACCTAAGCAGGGACCGAGCCATCAAAGCCAACCGCCACCATTTGTCAACAGAGAGCACACTGCCTACAAATTAAACTGGTAGTGATCGTGCTGTGTGCCTGAGGACCATCCGTGACGCAGGAGCAGAGGAACTTTCCTACCAGAGGAAAAACAAAGGCTGACAGTGAGTTCAGTAGGAAGGGCCTGCCCAACAGTGGCATACCTCCCGAGGCCCCCTAGATGGACTCCAGAATCCAGTCACTGCTGGAGAGGGGGGACACAGGCAGTGACAAGTCCCGTGGAGGGTCCCTCCCATCTTGGAGGTGGCTCTGCTCCTGGAAATATTCCTCCTCCTCATCGAAGAAGCCATTCTCCAGGGCATAAGTGCAGTCCGGGCTAGAGATGGCTTGGCATGTGCCCTTGTACTCCTGAATTGACTCGTAGAGGCTATACAGTTGGCAGAGCAGGGACATGTCCAGCTGGCGGAGGCCGACCTTGACGGGAGGAAGGGAGGTGAGAGCAATACATCAGCACTTGAGTTTAAGTTCAGCCGAACACTTAGACAGCCATGGCCCCTGCCAGCACATTCTTCCCACATGGGGAATGAGTCAAAGCATCACTCAGATGCTTTGCATGTCTAGTTTTGAGAACACTTCAATTATGTCACGCCCACAGCTTAGACATTACTCAGTGTGTATTGGGGAGGGCGGGGTGTCACACATGTGGGCAACCAGCCCAGCCCATAGAATTTATCCTGGCACTCCTGGTGAAGCAACAGCATTGCACAGTCTGGTGGCCCCAGATGGCTTCACTTTGGATGTTGATATGTCATTTCCTCGCCCAATCAGACCCAGGGCAAAGCCACAACGACCTTCCCTGCCATTATGTTAGGAGGGGAGCATCACAGTCATTCTCAGCTCCCTGGGGCAATGGAAGGCCCCTCGCAAGTGATGGAAGCTCACCAGTCAGTGTGACATGCCACTACGTGAAGCACCCACCTCTGACCAGCTCAGGCCTTGGCTCTCAAGAGAAGCAATCAGAGATCAGACTCCCCCTCTGCAGACCGGGTTGACCTTACTCCAAAGTGGTTGTGGGATTGCTCCCCACAGCAAGTGACTGAATATGAAGAAGCTTAGTAAGATTCTCCTGGAAACTATGTCCACACAAAGGGCAACAGAACAGAGAACATACATAAAAGTCACAATTTGTTTCTCTCCAAGTTCCTCACTGTCCATCCCAGAGAAAAAAGCACTGTTAAGAACAGGAAATGCACCATTTACATCAATCCCAAAGAGAAAAGGGTTAATACACTGGGAAACACAGCACAGACCAGGGCATCTCAACCTCTAATGTACCTGAGAACCAACCACAGATCTTGCACAACATGCAGTTTCTGATGGGGCAGGGCTGGGGCCACTGGGCGCTGTGCTTCCAGCAAGCCCCCAAGTGATACTGAGAGCTGCAAGGGGAAGAAGCTCTCAGCAAGATTCCAGGAGACTTTCCTCCTGCTTCTTGGCTCCTGAGCAAAGTTATTTGGCATCCCTGTACTTTGGCTGTCAGCAAAATGGAATAATAACATATCCTACATGTACAGAGCTACTGGGAGGATTAAACGAAATATCAACCCATTTAGCCAGGCACTCACGCCTGTAATCTCAGCACTTCGGGAGGTTAAGGCAGGTGGATTCCTTGAACCCAGGAATTCAAGACCAGCCTGAACAAGAGTTAGACCCTGTCCCTACTAAATATAGAAAAACTAACCTGGTGTGGTGACAGTCACCTATAGTCACAGCTACTCGGGATGCTGAGGCAAGAGGATGGCTTGAGCTTGGGAGTTTGAGGTTGCTGGAAGCTATGACACCACGGCACTTGACCCAGGGCAACAGAGTGAGACTGACTCAAAAAAAAAGGAAAAAAAAGAAACAACCTATTTAAATGAACAGTGTTCAGATGCCACCTAGGCTAAGGCACTGAAGATGTGTGGGTACGAGTATACATAAACACACAGACAGTGTGTGGACAGGATTTGCAGTTTTTGTAATTACCAAAATGACTCACTTACCCAGCAATGAGATATTCCACAGGAGAGGCCTGCCTTTTCACAAAGGGAAACGTTCATCTTGTGATAAGACTGGAGATAAATGCCAAGGATTCTTTGTATCCTCCAATCACACTCGGTGCTTTTCCTTTTTCTCTTTCTTGTGGACAGATAGGGTCTCACCATTTTGCCCAGGCCAGGTTTAAACTTCGGGCTCAAGGCTCTTCCTGCCTCAACCTCCTGAGTAGCTGGGATACCGGCATTCACCAGGACCACACCTGGCGACAAACACCCTAAATTGCCAGGTGAGCACTGGCTGTCTCTACTATAGCCTGAACCAATCACAAGAAAATAGAACTGTGTCGTATTTATATACAGCATAAGTTGACACTCAGGAGAGTCACAGGTAAGAGGATTCTGTTGTTACCACTACAACCCCTCGTGACTCCAGGATTCTCAAAGGGGACTCTGGCACATGGTCTCCAGGCCCAGCTCTGCCATTGTCCAGGGCTCACCATCACCCAGCTTATAAAGCCAAGATTTGGGCTGGACCATCTATGGCCAGAAGTCACTGTGTGACCCTGTGGAGTAGACTGTTGCTTCTTTGTTTTAAATAAACTATAAGCACCTCAAGACAGTTTCCAGGGCTGTTCCCAGAGGGCAGAATTGCTTCACTGGCATCCTGCTGTCAAAAGCACACCTTGAACACATAAGCAATGGGCAATTGAGAGATGCCCAGGTCACCATACCCTCACTCTGTCCCTTTCCTGATAGAGTCTAAATGAGAGAGGAAGAGAGAGAAAGTGCCTGTGTATGTGTGTGTGTGTCGGGAGAAAGGGAGAGGAGGAGAAGGGATGCCTGGCATTTGTGTTTTTAAAAATACCTGGATGATGGTGGCACCCACAGCTCAGTGGTTAGGGTGCCAGCCACATACACCGAGGCTGGTGGGTTCAAACCTGGCCAGGGCCAGCTAGGGCAACAATGACAACAGCAACAACAAAAAAAATAACTGGGTATTGTGACAGGCACCTATAGTCTCAGCTACTTGGGAAGCTGAGACAAGAGAATCACTTAAGCCCAAGAGTTTGAGGTTGCTGTGAGCTGAGATGCCACAGCACTCTACCCAGGGCAACATAGTGAGACTCTGTCTCAAAAGAAAAAAAAAAAATAGAAAGGATCTCGATGTCTCACCTCCAATCTCAAAAAGGAGGTTCCCAAACAGTTCCTTCCTCTGCAAACTACTGCGATCATTTCACAGGAAGTCAAAATCTCCTAGCCTGTAGGTCCTCCAGAGCCCTGGATGCTAGGGGTAACCATTCAGCATACAAACAGATCTAATTTCACACTTCACTAAGCATACGTTAAATATTTTAAGATAATTTACATTTCACCACCCCTATGCCTTAAAAAACAAAAAAGGAAACTTGTCTTCTCAAGGCTAAGTATCTCATCCTCCTGCCATTTTCACTGTGATGTTCTGGTCCATTGACTGACCACCTGAGTCCTTTCTTCCAGACTTGCTCCTGTCTCCCATGAGCCCTGCACAGAACTGGTTGCGAACACAATGAACAAACCACAAGATTCTAATCCAGTCAGCTCCCATGCGCCCATCTTTCCTAGGATTTGTAAAGGATCATTAACTTGAATAAAGTAAGTCACACCAATGTCTGCTCAGAACTCATGGAAGAAGGACCTTTTCCATGGAACCTTAGATATACTTCTGCATAGTCACTCTGACACCAGTAGGGTTGGGTGGTCCCAAGACTTTTTTCTCACCTCAGGAATGAGTAATGAAAAACAGGTAAGTAGCAGTGAGGAACATGCTATTGGAATGGGTGTCATTTTCACCTTCCTCAGCCAGTTTGAGACAGGTCAGTCAGGTAAATTTAGGAGCCTAAAACCCTTCTGGGTTTCAAAGGCTGTGACTTCTCATGACCCCACGGCAGCCAAAGAGACATGGTTCCAGGCAGCAGGTAATGGCAGCATGGCCTAGCTGGGACACACACCAGGCTGGAGTCTGCAGGAAAGGGGATCGCGACCTGGACCTTCCTGCCCTGCAGCACCTGGATGACTCAGAAAGCTGTCTTGTCACTGGGTGGAACGCTGGCCTAGAAAGAAATCTGACCCACCTAGGAATACAGCGCCACCTGCACACACCTATTACACAACCGAACATCTGCCAAGAGTTCAACAAGGATTTAACAAGGACTTAAACACACACCTACACACACACGCACGTGCTCACACATGCCTAGACACATCCCAGCTTCCAGCACCTTCTTCAGACACTACACTAAACTTCCTTTGACTTACAGAAATCCTCAAAATTAGAACATGGGTAACTGCTACATGACATGCCCAACCCCTAGCCAGGACTCCTCTTCCTCAGCTGTCATTAACACTTCTGCTGACATTTTCTTGAGGGAAGCTGAAAACCCTTGGACAGCATTCCATGATCTGGTCTGCCTCTACCCTTCAAAGCCTATGTCCCCTCCTCCCCTCTCTACACCAAGTGCAATGCCAGGTTGAGGTCCCTTTCTACAGACAGAGCTCCCACCTCTCCTGTCCCCACGGCACCTGCTGACCCTCTGGCCCCGCAACACTTTTTTACCACTGTTTAGACAGTGACTGGCTTAGCCACTATGTCTGCCCATACTCTCACCTACTTTACATTGTAGGGACACACACAGCTCCTCATGCTACAGGGACACCTACAGCACCTCACACTACAGGGACACATATGGCTCTTCACACCATAGGTACATATTTGACTCTTGACACCAGGGGTACACCTAACGGCTCTTCTTTCTCCCAGCACACAACCAGCCCCTTTATGGCAGCAATGCTCTTCTTGGATCCCTCAGCATCCAGCCCAGAGTTCTACAGAGCAGAGGAGCAGGTATTTGGTGACTCAGTGCACATGCATGGCTGCAGAGATCTTGGACACCCTCCCAGAGAATGTGTGGCTGCAGAAATGGCCTGGCAGCAGCATTGCACTGGGACCTACAGACCCCGGCACACCCCTTCGGCAGCCACAGAGGCATGGGGTTGAACAGGCAGCTGTCCCTGTCGAAGCATCAGAACACTGAGTGCCCACAGTTCCCACCTGGTCCACAGGCAAAGGACCCCCAAGCACTTCTCTATAGAGAGGGCTCTTCCCAGAGCGGGGCTGGAAGCCAGTTACAGACAGCCGCTTCTAGTACCGTCATCTGCCATCAAGTCCTCGTGTGCCCTGCCTGGCCTTCCCCTCTGTCATGCACAGAGCACCCCCCATCTCCCACTGCACACGCAGGGGGCCACCACCTTCCCAGCAAGGCCGAACAGCCTTGAACCACTCTTGAAACTTTCCCTGCACTTGTGATTTGTAAAATGTAACCAAGTACCTAGGACAGGGTGGCAGTTCCCAGCTGGTGTCCAGGTCACTCAAAGTCTCTAAATAGCTCCAGAGGCTGCAGC